CAGCCGGGGTTAAAAGTTCAAGGTCAGTGAAGTGGAAATCCCCGGCGCTAGTCACGAGTTGTTTAGTCAGCGAGCAAAGCGAGCGGCGCCGAGGTCAAAAGGTGAGTGGAAATTCCCTGGTTTTTTGGGTCGATGTACTACCCAGGGGCTTTGATCAAAAACTGGGGTTTCACGACAATTCCTGGATTTTCCCATTTTTTCCCATTTTCCCCCACCAAAATTGTTTTGACGATTTTTTGGGTCGATGTACTACCCAAGGGCTTTGAGCAAAAACCGGGCAAAAAGGGGCGTGTGATCCAGAATCGGCTCTTCTCTACTACTCAAATAACTCTGGTGCGGCGCGGTTCCAGCATACAACTTCAGCTTATGACTATGTCTAGGTATTGAAGAAAGTCTTTGAGAGTCTTTAAGATAACCATAAGAAGCAAGAGTAATCTTAGATCAAGTCTGCACCAACACTAAAGGTCTTTATTTTGAGACGTCAAAATAATCTGCAGATCGAATAGGCTGAATCTGAAGTCACGGCTTTGCGATACCTGCACAAGGACCTGAAAATTCAGAGCAACAGGGTAACAGCGCTACCTGGAAACCCACTTTACATAATGCAAACTTGTTAAACAAATCTTCGCATGAAATCTTGAACTGGCCTTTAGCCTTGGGTCCCCTGTGCTCAGCCTCAAATGGATATCCCCAAAGCGACGCTTTACCTGGATGAATGGGAAGGACAACATCATTGCCCTGATCAGACAGAATCCCTTCCTACCTTTTCTCGAGGCCGTCACTTAATCCTTTCCCCAAAACATGCACAGGTAAGGAATAGGCCACGCCTCGAAATCCACCTACTGTCTGTTTGAATCAGTTTGGAGGTCTGCAAACGCCATCTTGAAGAATAATTGGGAAGCGGTCGATTGTTCAAAAATCAGTCTGCATGCCATGATCTAAAAATCGAAGTAAAAGCTCCCTTTTATTTTCAATCGACGCTAAATATTTTACATTTTACCTTCAGGGTCAAATAGGGACCAACAAATCTGGCAACATAATCAACCTTCTTGGCTCATGATGATATTAACTAACGTCTGATACAACCTGCTGGCCTTACATTACTACAATTACAAATCCATAAAATACAAGTGGGTAAACTGTGTGCTCTCAAAATAGTGTTCCCACAGGACAGGGGAAAAGAACGTTTTAAACTGAACTGGCCAAACTTGAGGTACGTCGAGCCTTGTAACTACTGAAGCCCGGTTGACACGAAGGTCCATATCTATACACCGGACAAATCTTTTACGACGCTGTATAAGGGTGCATCCAGAACTCGAACCTGTTTCCTTCTGTGCACAAGGACAGATCAACTGGAACTTGCACATCATAATAATAATAATAATAAAAAATGTAGATTTATATAGGGCACTTGTCTAGCTAGAAAACCGATCAAGGCGCAAACATACAAAATACTCGAGCACAATTGAAATAATCCTAACAAAGAAGATGAGATTTCAGTTTTTTCTTGAAGATATCCAAGAATGTAATTTGACGGAGTGAAACTTGGAGTTTATTCCAAATGTGCTGCCCTGGCGAAGGCACGCTGACAGTAGTGGATAGTTCTGGCTCTTGGTTTCATGCAGACTGAAATACGCAGCAAGAGAGGTAGGTGTCATGGTTGTACCTGATCCTCATTGGGATCGCAGGAGTGTTCGGAGGGTGCTTACGCACTCTGCTTTCCAAAATGTCAATTTCTCAATGATTTTCAAAAGCAGAATCGTCGAACCTGGCTGGTGTTGCTCGCCATGCAATGGTATTTTTCAAAGTTGAATATGTAAAGCTATAATCGTGAAAGTGAAACCATTGAACCAAGCCCCTCCCCCCGTTTTTCCACGACCAGCTTTTAAATTTGCCGAATTTGAAAAATTTTGGACGAGCATTCTTTTTGCCAACCCCCAAATTCTGCGTATATGGCCTGCTTCCTTGAGAGTGTACCTTACAGGTTTAAGCCTCTCGTTGATGCAACATGCTACAAGATGCTACAAGAAATACCACATTCTAAGTTACTGAGTTGACAAACGCTTTGCTCTTGAATTTATTCTTAATCCATTACGTTACTATCATGCATGCAACACAATTTCACCTTTTTTAATTGATAAGTTCTATAGTATATGACAATAATTCAAAACTATTCCCATCTCCAGGGAACTTTGGAAATTCTCTAAAATTTTTACGGCGAGGCCGACCTACGTTGCGTCTCTGATGATTTCATACGTGCCTTTTGAAACCGAAATTTTACATTCGTTTTTCCTCTCTTTTGTTAAATATCCTTCTGCATAGTGCCATCTGAAGTTTTTATTATGCGGTCATAAGTTAAATTACTGTAAAAAAAATGAAACTAATAATTACAAAAGGAATGGCGTATATCAGTAATTTTGGTAAGCAGTAATTTTATCAAGATAGAAAAATTTAACTTTTCCAGCGATAACCAATTGAATTACCAATGAGGACACCATTCTATAGAACTACTGTTAATAAGAATAAACTTTTCCGATGCACAAGAAAGTTTTACTCGTCAATTGAAAAAAGGGTTACCAGCCAAAATTACATCCGTGAAGTTTTTCGCTGCGGGTTCCCGCCTTGCTTAGCATTATTTGGAGCTACAGTCAGCTCCATGGATTTGGGCCAGATCTAGAGCATGACTAAACTGTGGATAGCTTATCGGTAATTGCGGCTACTTTTGAGTCGTTGATCGGCAAGCCTGCCAGGGCTTTGACCTTGGCAACGTTTTCGTCCTTGAAGGCAACAAGCGCCTGGAAACTCTGAGCCACGGTGTCCAGACCGTGCCGTAAGGCATCAACCTCGCCGTCTGTCACGGGCTCCTTCTTCAGGTTCTTCGCTGACACTTGTTTCGAGAGACTCTGAAGGACTCCAGATGCCTGTATGATCATACACATAGGGATAATATCCTTTGTATTGCTTCCATCAAGGATTTCAAATTCGCAACGTAAACAGCACACCTTGACTAAGATTAATGGCATAAAGAACTTGCTGTTTTTGTAAAGTAAAAGGTGAGTGAGTTAAAATTTCAAGCTTAGTCGTCGAGGAAAGGATTAAGACAGGTTTTGATGGGAGGCGAACATGCTAAGCTAAGTGGTCTGAGCTTTCTTTCACTGTCGCTATATTGTGCCACATGCATGGATTCTCGGTTTTTGCACTTTGCACATCTTCTTACAACTTTTTTTGTGTGCGACATAAGCAAGGAAAATCACATCAATGATCTGGCAATTTCTACTGGCGGCAGAAATTCACAATTTATTGTCGAACAGTATGACATCTTTGAAACTCAAAGACAGTCGATAGTATTTATTGGACGATAAAATTGGCTACACGAAGAAAGCTGAAAGAGCAATAAACGCCTATTGCACCATGATTTCAACAGAGGAGGTTAAATGCATACGCACCGCTCCTATTTTTGGCAAAAACTTAGAGAGTATGCCACTCAGCGGAACATCGATTCCTTGAAGGGTGGTGGTGTCGTTGGAGTGATCTTTCAACCAATTGTAAAGATCCTGCATGAGGCTCGAGCAACTCGTCAGAACATCGATTAGTTTGGCCAGTTTCTCAGCCCGAGCCTTGGCCGCGGGATCCGAGGTGATTGCTTCCAAGATAGCCCTCGCTGCCTTGAAGACAGCGTCGATGGCTACATACTCGGTGATCATTTTGTTTAGCTTCTCCATCGCAACACCGATCCTTTCCACGATTTGAGACAAGGCTTTGCCGCCTGAGGCTGCCGCTTCGCCCGCCTCAGCTCCAGCTTCACCCCCGGCTTCAGCGCCAGCCTCGGCGCCAGCACTGATCGCCTCACCGGCCTCGGCAGCTCCAGCGACCGCTTCGCCCGCCTCTGCGGCCGCTGCTCCTGCCTCTACGGCCTCTGCTACTCCAACGGCAGCCTCCACGCCTAGAACAATACCCATATCCCCAGAAGCCTCAGGTGCACTGTGACCAACACTTTCCCAACTTCACGTTTAGACAGTAATCAGTGCGATAAGGAAGCTTGGCTACGTTCCCGGATTTTTTAGCGTTATCCAGTCACTTCACGCGCTGACATACAATTACAAAGCGGTATTGTCGTTCAGTATAAATGGCTGAATATAGGTTGTGCACCATGCATGACACAAGGTAACGTCACAAAAATGTATGGAACGCCGTAGCGAACGTCGGTAATCCTACATTGTCGGAATCATTGACCTACGTGTAATCCTAATCGAATAACGACACAGTAGAATCGGCTGGGAATATTGCCAAATAGAATTCGGAAATTACTCACAAAGAAAAATGACATTGCAGAATGGAATGGTGAAATTTCCAAATTCAGTGGTGAAAGCGCCCAAAGCAATCGTGAAAATTAATGACGAGCTGATTAACAATACTGGCGAATTGAATGTCAAAAT